AGCCAGGAGTAAGCCCTAAATACTTTGTGTGGTCCAAGCTCTCTCCCCCAAATTCTCTAAACATCTATTCATAATTAAAAGCAGCTAACAATATGTGAAAGAAAGAGTAAATTGTCAAACTTTCACAAAGGGGAGAGTCTCATTAAAAAAAAAAAGCAGTTCTGTTTACTTAATAATGATGGCCAGAAATTATATAGGAAGATTAGTTACATCAAAATGATAAAAAAAAATATCGTAATTACTGTTTTTTGCTTAACACATCGCAGTGCTCAGGGTTAATTCCTGGCTCTGTGCTCAGGAATCACTCCTGGTGGGCTGAGAGACCAAACATATGATATGCCAGGGACTAAACTTGGGTAGGTCACATACAAGGCAAGTGCCCTATCACCTCTCCAGACCTTATGTTATAATTAAATAACAGATCATCAACAGAATATTCTAGATAAGACATTTGAAGCCAATGACTTCTTTACATAAAGTTTTAGATATAGTTAGAAAAATGATGTTATCTAATAGAGAGCTATTTCTTTTTATTTAATTAAAATTTAATTAAAAATCTTTTTGGTTTGTGGGTTGTGGGTCACACCTAGCGGTGCTCAGAGGCCATATGGGGTGCCAGGGATTGAACCTGGATCAGACACGTACAAGGTTGCCTTACCTTCTATACTATCTCTCCTGTTCCAGAAAGCTCTTTTCTCAACTTGTTTTGCAGTAGTGGACTAAGGAATAATTTACAATAATATATAATACGTACACTTTGCAATCCTATCTTGAATCACTTAAAAAAGACTGTTCCTTTTCTATATGTCAATATGGTTTTTATTATTTATTTCCAGGTGTGGGTTGGAGCGATAGCACAGTGGGTAAGGCGTTTGCCTTGCACGTGGCTGACCCAGGTTTGGTTCCTCTGACCCTCTTGGAATGCCCGAGAGTATCCCGCCTGTTCGGCAGAGTCGTATTCCATATGCCAAAAACAGTAACTACAAGTCTCACAATGGAGTTACTGGTGCCCGCTCGAGCAAACCGATGAACCACGGGAGTGTTCATCTGTAGCTACAGTGTTATTTCATCAGTGCTACAGTGCTATTTCCAGGTGTATATAAATGTACTTTTAAAATTGTTTTCTGGGGTCTCCCAAGCAGCACTCAGGGAGCACCAAATCCATTCTCTGTGATTCTCAGCTAGCCTGGAGGGGGGTCTAAGGCCCAAGGGTGCAGACTGCAGGGCCCCAAGGTTATTGGGAGCCTCTGGGGCTGGACCTGGCACCCTGCGGTGCTACAGATCTAACCCAGAGTTGGGTTACTGTTCCCCATAAGCCCAAATGATTTTTTATTAGCCCATCTTCCTGACCAGTCAGTGGACACCTTGAGATCAGCAGACGTGTTTTACCTGCTGTTATGTTAATATCAGTGTACATCTACTGTGTGTCTAGAGGTTCAGATACTTTAAATGAACTCTCAGACAATCTCGCGAGATCACTGTGCCAATTTCAGCGAAGAGTATAAAGAAGAGCAGAAATCTCCTGACTTCATTTACTGGACCGTTTTCTCTGCTGAACACAATGCCCCAGATACTGAGGGCTCTACAAAGGGTTTGCTGAATAATGAGAACGCTGGCACCGGAGAAAGTGAAGCAACTTGTCAAGGAGCGCGTAGAGTCAGTAAGCAGAGCCTGCATTTGCATCCCTGTGGCCTGACATCAGACCTGACTCTTTCTTCCCCTGCCTGTTCCCAATTTCTAGCTCAGAGTTGGTACCGAGAGCACCCAGCTGACATCTACTGAAGGAATGAGTGTTTTCTTCCTTGAAATGGCTTATCCTCTTTATTCCAGCATCCCCTTCTATCCTGATGTGAAATCTCTCAGCCCAGATGCAAGCTAAAACCCTAAGTTTTCATTCCACTGCATTTCCCACAGGCAAACATTATCAACGGGGAAGAAAATATTTGTAACGCAGGAAGCCAGAAATAGAATTTTAAAAAATTAATCAATGAAACATTTTATTTTTACAAATTAATATAAATTATAATATAGGAAGCTAAAAATATGGAATGCCTAAACATAATTAACTCCAAGTTTCAATTATTGGTGTTTCGTTGTTATGATTTTCCTTTCTTAGGTAGCACTGTCCTCCCGCTGTTCATCGATTTGCTTAAGCGGGCACCAGTAACATCTCGCAACAAATTGTGAGACTTGTTGTTACCGTTTTTGTTTTTGTTTTTTGCTTTTGCTTTTTGGGTCACACATGGTGATGCTTAGGGGTTACTCCTGGCTCATTCACTCAGGAATTACTACTGGCGGTGCTCAGGGGACCGTATGGGATGCTGGGAATCAAACCTGGGTTGGCTGCGTGCAAGGCAAACGCTCTACTTGCTGTGCTATTGCTCCAGCCCGTTACTGTTTTTGGCATATTGAATACATCACGGGGACCTTGCCAGGCTTTGCCGTGTGGGCGAGATACTCTCCGTAGCTTGCCGGGCTCTCCGAGAGGGGCGAAGGAATCGAATCTGGTTCGGCCGCGCAAGGCAGATGCCTTAACCGCTGTGCTATTATTGCTCCGGCCCCCTTTCTTAAGTAAAACAAGAGATTTATAAAAAAAAAAAAATCATCATATAAACAAACTTACTTCATTTTTTATGCTGTGCCAAAACTTGTTCTAAATAAAGGGGTAATTATATGATGACATCATTTTGAGTAATAATAAACATAAGTTTATTACACAGATGATAGTCTCTGTGTAACATGTACTTTAGTACATGTACTTTGAGCAAGGCGCAGTAATGTGGTTTTGGAATTTATTTCAAAAACCCAGATTTATGTTAAGTTATTGTTCAGCTTCAGTTTAAAAATACACAAACATTAAGTTTTCATATAGGCACAAAATAGTTTAAAACTGTAAGATCTCTGACACTGCTAAAATGCACTTTTAATTTTTTTTTGTTGTTGTAAGAATAATGAATTGTAGGATTCAAACAAATGCAGACCACAATTCCAGCTTTGACCTTTAACAACGACGTAACCCCGGGATAAATTACTATGTCTGAGCTCATTCCCGTAAAATGTGGCCAATAATCCCTAATTTGCAGGGTTGCTGGCGGAGCGCGAGCAGGACCCAGGCACGCGGTGGCACTCCCTGGACAACGGCTCTTTCAGTGAAGGGCTGCTCTGTGGGGCTGCCGTGGCTTCTCTCTCCAGAGTACTCGCCCTGCTTCCCGACAGCAACACTTCCCGGGTTTACTCTTCCAGAGAGGAAGCATTCCCCCTTCAACGAAACTTACAAAATATATACAAGAGGGAAATATTCAAGGAATGTTTAAAAAGTGAAATAAAATAGTCTTGTTGAGGGAGAATGTATTTGTGTGTGTGTGTGTGTGTGTGTGTGTGTGTGTGTGTGTGTGAAAGAGAGAGAGAGAAGCAGACAGACAGAGACAGAGAGACACACACAGAGGAGAGACAGACAGAGAAGGCCAAAGTAAGGAGATTCACGCCCTAAAGATGCCGATGGCTCAGGCTGGTGTTCTCAAGTGAAGGGAAGCTCAAGAACCCAGGGGCATTTGGCCCTGAGCAAAAGGCAGTGGAGGAGGGTGCTTGCTTTGCATGAAGCTGCTGGCTGATTTGATTCCTGACATCCCATAAGGTCCCCTGAGCTCAGAGCCAGGAGTAAGCCCTGAGCACTGCTGGGCGTTACCCAAAACCAAAGAAAATAAATAAATAAATAAAAGAACCCAGAGTTGCATACGGGCAACTCAGAGTGGACTGTACCTCATGGGATTTGGGGTTTATGTCCTCTAGAACATTTTTGGTTTTGTGCTACCCCCAGCTTTGGTCAGAGCTTACTCCTGGCCCTGCACTAATTCATCATACAAAGAGACTTGCAAGGCTGACCCATTCCTGGTGGGTTCAGGGGTCTGCCAGGGGTGATAGGGATTGAACATGGGTCAGCCTGAGTGCATGGCAAGTGCCCTACCCACTGTACTATCTATCGCTCTGTCCCTCTCTTTTAGAACATTTTACTAAAAAAACTATTAATAGGTATTATTGATCAAAATACTTAAATATTAATGTTAACTAGGAATAATAGTTACGATTACAAGTTTATTTTATTTTATTTTATTTTTACTTTTTTGGGCCACACCTGACAATGCTCAGGGATTACTCCTGCTCTGTACTCAGGAATTACTCCTGGTGGTGTGGGTGGTGCGTAGGGGATGCTAATGGATGTTGTGGATTAAACCTGGGTCAGCCAAGAGCAAGGCAAGTATACTATTCCTTTACTATTGCTCCGACCCCAAGATGAGTCTATGTTCTTGTATTTTTTTATTTTTATTTTTTTATTAGTGAAACACTATGAGGTACAGTTATAGACTTACAAATTTTTGTGCTTGGGTTTCAGTTATACAATGATCGAGTACCCATCCCTCCACCAGCGCCCATCCTCCACCACCACGGGTCCCAGCATCCCTCCCACCCCCCACCCACCGCCCCCATCCCACCCCGCCTCTGTGGCAGGGCATTCCCCTTTGTTCTCTCTCTCTTCTTTTGGGTCCTGTGTTTTGCAAAAAAAATATGGAACGCTTCATGAATTTGCGTGTCATTCTTGCACAGGGGCCATGCTAATCTTCTCTGTATCGTTCTAATTTTAGTATATGTGCTGCCGAAGCGAGCGCTGTATCTATGTTTTTTTAAAAAATCCTAACAATAAAGAAAGAATTCCAAACCAACCCATCACAAGAGCATTCACATTTCAATCTGCAGAGGGAGCTCAAGTCTGGACTGGGAATGGTTCTCTCAGGCACAGCTATTACTAGCTCCACCCTGCTCCTGGAGGGTTCTGAGTTTGAAATTTCTCCTTTTCCTGAACTTTGCAAGCTAAACTTTCCTTGGATAGCTGCTGTTTTCTTTTTAGAAACTGCAATCTGCATTTGTTTGCTAGAACAAGAAAATACAATGAAAGCAAGCATTGTTATACGATCAAATGTGTAATAGCTTTAAAAAAAAATTACCTGATGGAATATAGGCTCCTTTACCTTAAGGTACACCTGAAAGAGTAAAAGAAACAAATGTGAATTAACTATTAATAATAACTATTAGCCATTAACTACGGGGAGAGGAAACCGATTACAGGCTGGGGGACAGTTTCCTCACAAAGGACCTGCCTGAAGTATGAGACTCCAAGTTCGATCCCTGGCACTGGCCCACATGCACTGCATACGATCCCTGTCCAGGTGCCGGGCGCTATCCCACATGATCACTAAACATGATCTCAGTACCTGGCAACTGTGTATAATGATCTCCCGCACCCCCAATGAACAACCAAATGTGTATTGGCACCACAATTAAGAGTCCAACATGGCGGAGGGATGTGGGGGCCCGTCTAGTTACTTCAACAAAGTGCGCATCTCCTGGTGACTGCAACAGCAATGACAACAAAAAAATTAAAAGAAAGGGCAAGGGGAATATATACTTTTTAATTTAAAAGAAAAAAGAGAAAAGGAGGGGCTGGAGCGACAGCACAGCGGGTAGGGCGTTTGCCTTGCACGCAGCCAACATGGCCAACACAGGTTCGATTCCCAGCATCCCATATGGTCCCCCGAGCACCGCCAGGAGCGATTCCTGAGTGCATGAGCCAGGAGTAACCCCTGGGCATCGCGGGGTGTGACCCAAAAAGCAAAAAAAAAAAAAAAAAAAAAAAAAAAGAGGAAAAAGGAAAAAGAAAGTCCATCTCAACACCTCTGCAAATACTGAACCTGCTCTATGTCCCTAATTTTGCTACTTAGATTTACTTCGCATCAGATTAGATGCATGCCACGGAAGGGCGAGTACTTAAGAGGGTGGGGGTGGGAAGGGAGGGAACAACCCCTCAGTGCTAAGTTATCACAAAAAAAGACTGTTTTGAGGATTACTCCATAGCTTAGAGGCCAGCCGGGCATTCTAAAGGAAAGGGCAGCCCAGATAGAGAAGGGAGCACCAAATAAAGGGTGTTTGGAGGATCCTCCCAGGAGGGGAGATGCATGTCGAAAGTAGACAATGGACTGAACATGTTTGCCACTCAATGCCTCTTTTGCAGACCACAACACCCAAAAGGAGAGAGAGAACACAGGGGATTGCCCTGCCACAGAGGCAGGGTGAGATGGGAGGGATGGGGGTGGGAGGAATATTATCCATGGTGGTGGAAAATGGGCATTGGTGGAGGGATGGGTATTTGATCATTGTATAATCGAAACCCAAGCACAAAAATTTGTAAGTCTACAACTGTACCTCATGGTGTTTCACTAATCAAAAAAAAAACAAACAAAAAAACCCCGACTGTTTCAAGCTGTGTGGTACAATTCTAACCTCTGCAAAGGCTCTAAGGAGGGGCAAAGATGCAAACACTCAAGAGGGCTAAGAAGCCTCTTCTTTGACAATCCAATCGTAGACCTGTACTACGGTAGCAAGCCCAACACTCACGGAGGCAAGAGTCACATCTCAAAACCCTTCCACTTATTTGTCAGATGACTGAAGCACATCACTTAACAAAAAAAGTCTCACTTTGGGAATAAGTGGCAAGGAAAAAAAAGTGAAGATAATGAAGAGGCTGGCATATAACATGCTCAATGAATGAAAACATTCAACAATTGTTTCCTGCTTCATGAAACTTCTAAATCACTTAGACACATTCCCAGTTATAAAAACCCTAAATTTGGGAGTTTTACTGCCCCATGGGCTGGAGCGATAGCACAGCGGGTAGGGCGTTTGCCTGGCATGCAGCCAACATGGCCGACCCGAGTTCAACTCCTCCGCCCCTCTCGAAGAGCCTGGCAAGCTACCGAGAGTATCTCGCCCGCACGACAGAGCCTGGCAAGCTACTCGTGATGTATTCGATACGCCAAACACAGTAACAAGTCCCACAATGTTACTGTGCCCGCTTGAGCACACTGATGAACAACGGGAGGAGAGTGACAGTGACGGTGACTGCACCATGGGTGACTGAGTCCAATGCCAAGAGAGGAATCCAAATCCAAAAGCTTTTCCCCTCAAAACTTTCTTTTGTGGCAGGGCACACCTGGATGTGCTTGGGGCTCAATCTTGACTCTGAGATCAGGGATCACTTCTTATGGGGCTAGGGAGACCCTGTGCGGTGCCAGGATTCGAACAGGCTCACTGTGTACAAGGCAAGCACCTTACCCGCTGTACCATCACGCCTCTTGGCCTCCAATTCAAATGCTAGCCTTGAAATGACTTTCAGCACTTACAAGACAAATCCAAATGTCAGAGCCTCCCTGATGTGCCTTCCTGGTGGTCACAGTGCTCTCCTACTTCTCCGAGAGTACAATACTTTCCTAGATAGGCTAGTTTCATGCTTCTGAGCCTTTAAACAGGTTGCTCTTCATGCGTTCAGACACCCTCCACTGCTGGCAAACTGTCATCTTCAAGTCTAACGTTTGCCGAAGTCTTTTCTGATTTGTTCTCTAGGAAAAGTTGCTTTCAAACCCTCATTGTCCATCTAGTATTTTTTGTTCTTTTTGGGTCACACCCAGCAATGCATGGAGGTTACTCCTGGCTCTGCACTCAGAAATTCCTCCTGGCATTGCTCAGGGGACCATATGGGACGCTGGGAATCGAACCCAGGTTGGCCACATGCAAGGCAAATGCCCTACCCACTGTGCTATTGCTCCAGCCCCCATCTAATAATTTTATGGGGTTTATAACTTTGTCTTGTTGCCCTATAAGGCAATAAACCCTTTGCCAGCAAGAGCTGTTATTAGGTATCTCTACATTCTCATTTAATATAGTGCTGATCTCATGAAATTTTATGTACTTTTACTATTTGGCTACAAGATTTCTTATTCCTAGAGGAATTTTCTATCATCATTAAAACCAGAGCAGAGTCCTTTAAGTGTAGTAAAATGTGTGAGACATGATCCATGTGTAACCATGAACTCAGGCAGAAAGTTTTGATCTCTGAAATTTGTTATTTCAGTATATATTATTTCTACACACATAGTCTCAGACTCCCATTATTACTAATAAAAGAAATGCAAAAGACCCTGTCTCTTAGAAACAATTTTTGGGGGGCAGCGGCAGGGATCGAACCCAGGGTATTTGGCACGGAGGGCAGCATGTGCTCTATCACTGAGTCATACTCTCTGTCCTCAAAACAATTTTTTTGTTTTTAATTTTGGGGGAACACCAACGAAGCTCAGAGATTACTCCTGGCTCTGTGCTCAGGAATTTTCCTGGCAGTTCTTGGGGGACGATAAGGAATGCTGGAGATCAATCCTACGTTGACTGCATGCAAGGCAAGCAGACTTACCCACTGTACTATCTCTCTGGCCCCCTCAAAACAATCATTTTAAGGCAAAAGAAATTGCAGATTATTTTTACAGGGCTGGAGCGATAGCACAGCGGTAGGGCGTATGCCTTGCACGCGGCTGGCCTGGCTGACCTGGGTTCAATTCCTCTGCCCCACTCAGAGAGCCCGGCAAGCTACTGAGAGTATCTCGCCTGCATGGCAAAGCCTGGCAAGCTACCCATGACGTATTCGATATGCCAAACACAGTAACAAGTCTCACAATGGAGACATTACTGGGCCTGCTCAAGCAAATCGATGAACAACGAGAGGACAGTGCTTTTTTTTTTGTTACCACTAATATGATGCAAAAACTGTTGTTATCCTTATTTTACAGGAGGGAGATTAAAGAGAAGCATTTATGCAATATGCCATATTCCACAGTTCTGAAGTAACAGTGTTATCTCAAGTCTGAATTTGCTGACCTGTCAATAATATGCTTCCAATGTCAAGTCTAACGGTGACTCTGCACCCTTGGTCCACATAAACTTGGTTTGTACAGGAAAGTCACTGGAACTCCGCTGATTTATTCCATTTTTTCATTTCACCTTTACGATGGCAGTATTTTTCATGGTGATTGAGAACTTTATGCAAAGGACTTTCGAGGCAATGTAGAAGCAGAAGAAAATACAGCACCCGTGTTCTTTCAACCTCTGGTCACCCCCTCGACCTCTCACTGAGATCTGGCAGCAGCCTCCAACAAGGCATTCCTGACAGTCCTCATTAAGTGAACAGTATCCAAGCTAAATAACGAGGCCATTTATCTGAAAATCTTTTGGGTCACACCTCTGTCTTCACTGGACTCTTCATTAGACTCAATTTCAGCAGCAACTAAAACTGTTACTTCTAGAAATCTCTTGGAAGTCTGGAACATCGGGTTCTCCTAGTTTTTCTATATGTGTGGCTTGTTTTCAGTCTTTTTTGCCAGATATTGTTATTCTACTGGCCCTCAAACACCAGCATCCGATGCATACCATGATGACCAGGGGGTTAATACTACAATAGTGATACAGGGAATTTCCTGTGAGAGAAGATTCCAGGCAGGCTCTCTCTCTCTCTCTCTCTCTCTCTCTCTCTCTCTCTCTCTCATACACAAAATGGTTAACAATGTGAGGAGATATTTTCTTTTGCAATAGGGTAGTAATTTCACTATGCGTATATTTCACTATATGTAAGTCTCAAATTATCAAACATAAATATAGCGATTCTTTAGGCATTATGTTGCAATCCCTAGGCATTATGCCCTGAGATATTCTAATTTTATCAAAAAAGGTTTGCGTACCTGAGAGGTTTTGAATGCCAAACAATAAATCAGCTGTAACTTAAAAAGAATTGGATCATAAATGTTATCTCTTCTGTTTATCTCTCTAAAAATATCAGTGTCCCAAAGGGGGATGTCTCTCTGGTCATACTCAAAGGTCCATGCTGCTCTGTCCTTCTTCATCTAGTCCCATATTTCTGCTTAATACTGATGCTCCTGGTCATTTCCAAGTCCACGTCCTGAATCCGGTCCAGCTGTTAGGCCTTGAGGGCATGATCTTCCTCTCAACGTGTTCCAGAGGACGTGATCTACCTTTCCCCATTATCTACTCATTCTCTTTCCTGTAAAACTGGCTCTTTCTCCAAGTTTCCTATCCTGGTTAAGGACTTAAGACGCATCCCAATGGTCATGTCATAAACTGAGGAGTTATTCTAAACAATTCCTTTGTTAAGTCCATTTCTACCCCCTCTGTTTACTTTTATTTATTTATCTATTGGCTTTTTGGGTCACACCCGGCGATGCACAGGGGTTACTCCTGGCTCTGCACTCAGGAATTACTCCTGGCAGCGTCTAGGGAACCATATGGGATGCTGAGGATCGAACCTGGGTTAACTGTGTGCAAGGAAATCACCCTTCCCACTGTGCTATGGTGTCGGCCCATTGCCCTCTCTATTTAGTGGGTCACAAGTCCTATGACAATTCTTTTTCATCCCTACAGCTATTTTATGCCAAAATTTCCTGGGCCTAGCCTCACATTCCTCATTGATCTTTCATAACCAAAGTACATCTCTAAAGCACAGACAAGGATGATTTTTCTCTACTTTAAACCCATCAATGGCACCACACTACCTTGGGGATAAAAATCCAAATCTAACTGTAGCATAAAGGGGTTTTCATGATACGAAGTGTGCCTAATTCACTCGGGTAAACTCCTCCACATCTCACCATTTAACACATATTCCAGCCGCCATAAACCTCTCCCAGGGACTGAAAAGATAGGATAAAGGTTAAGGCACTTTCCTTGCATAGGCCGACCCAGTGTTGAGCTCCAGGACCATATATTGTCTTTGAACATTGACAGAGCAATTCCTGAGCACAGAGCCAGGAAAAAGCCCGAAGCACTGCTGAGAGTGGTTCCCAAACCAAAATAAATAATCTCTCAATTCTACTGGCACTGATGATTTAATGAGTATTTAATCACGATTTAGAAATATATTGATTTTAAAATAAATGCAAAGAACTCAGTACGCCAACACACACTAACCACTTAAAAATGGTAGTAGTGGGGCTGGAGCCATAGCACAGCGGGTAGGGCGTTTGCCTTGCATGTGGCTGACCCGGGTTCGATTCCCAGCATCCCATAGGGTCCCCTGAGCACTGTCAGGAGTAATTCCTGAGTGCAGAGCCAGGAGTAACCCCTGTGCATCGCCGGGTGTGACCCAAAAAGCAAAACAAATAAATAAAAAATGGTAGTAGTTTGCTATCCTGTTCTAAGCAATGAAATAGGACAATGAAAACCGTCTGTCTTAGAAATACTTCACCCCGTATGCTCATGGTCTTGGGACACTCTGAATCATATTTTGAAACTCCATTGAGGGGCTGGGCCGATAGTGCAGTGGGCAGGGCGCGTGCTTTGTATGAGGCTGACTGGAGTTTGATCCCTGGTACAGTATATTATTCTCTGAGCAACACCAGGAGTAATCCCTGAGTGCAGAGCCAGGAGTAAGCCCTGAGCACTGCTGTGTGTGATCCTGCCCTCCACCCCAACAAAACAAAAAAGAAGGAAAAGTAAAAAATAAAACTATTCAAGTTCTTTCTCTCTAGAGCTTCCCTTGACCCACTCATGTAATTTTTATCTTCATTGTCATCATCTCGTCTTTTACCTCTATTATTGCAATTATCATCTATCTTTTGACGCAATTCTTTGTGGACGTGTTTGACTCTGGTCCAAGAGTATATTCCTTGCAAGTGTTTTTTAGTCATCTCTGCATGTTTTATTGCCTATCAGATAGGTGTGTAGTAGGTTTGTTGAAATAATTTTTTTGTTTTGTTTTGTGTTTTGGATCACGCTGGCCATGCTCAGGAATTATTCCTGGCTCTGTGCTCAAGTATCACCATATGCAGGATAAGTGCCTTAACCCCTGTACTATCTCTCTGACCAAAATGAATATTATCTTAATACAAAATGCAATTCACTTGAAGGAGCAAAGGCTAGGACAGGATCCAAAATGACCAGTTAATCTCAGCTCAACGGGAAAAAGCAAAGCATTTCAAATGGCCACCCTGGGGCTGAAGAGACAGTACAGTGGGTAGGGCACTTGCCTCACACACATGACCCAGGTTTGATCCCAGGCACTCTATTTTTTTTAAAAAAATTTTTATTAGTGAATTACCGTGAGGTACAGTTACAGATTTACAAGCTTTCGTGCTTGCATTTCAGTCATACAAGGATCGAGTACCCATCCCTCCACCAGTGCCCATTTTCCACCGCCAATGGTCCCAGCATCCCTCCCACCACCCCCACCCGTCTCCTCCACCCTACTCCGCCTCTGTGGCAGGGCATTTCCTTTTGCGCTCTCTCTCTCTCTCTCTCTCTCTCTCTCTCTCTCTCTCTCTCTCTCTCTCTCTCTGTGTTGTGGTTTGCAATAGAGGTATTAAGTGGCCATCATGTTCAGTATTCTACTTTCAGCCCACATCTTCCATCCTGAGCAGGCCCTCCTAGTACCCTTTACTTGGTGGTCCCTTCTCTATCTGAGCTGCCTTTTCCCCCAGCATGTGAGGCCAGCTTCTAAGCTGTGGAGTAATCCTTCTGGTACTTATCTCTACTATTCTTGGGTGTTAGTCTCCCATTCTGTTACTTTATATTCCACAAATGAGTGCTATGTCTGTCGTCTATGTCTGTCCCTCTCTTTCTGACTCATTTCACTTAATATGACACTTTCCATGTTATCCACCCATTGGCAAATTTCATGGCTTCATCTTTTTTAACAGCTGCATAGTATTCCATTGTGTAGATATACCAGAGTTTCTTGAACCAGTCATCTGTTCTTGGGATCCCAGACACTCTATATGGTCTCCTGAGCCCCTCCAGGAGTGATCCCTGAGCCAACACTAAGCCCTGAGCAATACCGGTTATGGCTCCCAAACCAAAAACATTTATAATATACACACAGGAGGTAATATATTGTTTTCCCCATCAATATGCTACTAAACATTTGACTTTTAACTCCCTCCTCCCTTTAAAAATATTAAAGTTTCATAAAATCATTTCAACTCTCTGCTGAGAAATAATATCTGAGCAGGAAACAAAGTAATAATAATACCTGTGAGTTTCCTGTAGGAACTTTGAATTTGAACAAGAAGGAGGAAACACTAAACGAGTTAATTTTCATACTCTGTAAGAAATATAATAGGACTTACTGTGGTTACTATCAAACTGAACAGAACTAAGGTAAAAAGCAGATGGTAGTTTACTGTGTTCTTGATCTTGAAACATTCAAACCTTTAAAAAAAAAAGAAAGAGAGAGAGAGAGAGAGAGAGAGAGAGAGAGAGAGAGAGAGAGAGAGAGAACACGAAATTTGTTTCAGAATTGGAAACCAGAGATGCTGCTTTAACCAGTTGTGAACCGGTATGTGTCCGCTGCTAAGGAGTCCTTCATTCCTGCCCACCCGTAGCTCATCACAGGGAACCTACAGCAGGGCCCTCCCTGCCCAGGGGTGGGGCGGGGACCAGGGACCACAGCAGCACCTGACTTCAGCCAGGCCAATGAGAGACTCTTCCCCAAATTTTTTTTAAATTTTATTTTTATAGAGTAGTTCACAATATTTGATTACACTTCTATTCCAACACTAATCCCACCACCATTACACCTTCCCGTCACCATATTTTGGATGTTTCCATCGCAAACCCTAACCCCTGCTTCAAAGCAGGCCCTTCCGTTGATCGTCGATTTGCTCGAGCGGGCCCAGTAACGTCTCCATTGGAGACTTTGTTGTTACTGTGTCTGGCATATCGAATACTCTCGGTAGCTTGCCGGGCTCTCCGAGAGGGGCGGAGGAATCGAACTCGGGTCGGCCGTGTTGGCCGCTTGTAAGGCAAACGCCCTACCGCTGTGCTATCGCTCCAGCCCAGAATAGAAATAATTTATTTTGTATTGTTTGTTATGAATAAGCCGTTGAAAATGTTCCAAAAATTTTCCTTAAGTCTTCCACAAAAATTTTGAGTTTGGGAATCAGAGATTGAATTAAGTGAAGATCTAGTGCTTGCTTTTCATTCTTTTTTTTTTTTTAATCTCATTTCTTTCTCCTCCCCCTTCTCTCCCATCCCTCTCTTTCCCCCATCCCTGCCCCCTTCCCCCTCCCTCCACCCTCTTTCATTTTGGGGCCACACCTGGCTGTGCTCAGGGCTTACTCCTGGCTCTGCACTCAGGGATCGCTCCTGGCAGGACTCAGGGGACCATATGGGATGCTGGGGATTGAACCCAGGGCCGTGAGCAAGGCAAGCACCCTGCCTGCTGTACTATAGCTCCAGCCCCTAGGAGGTTGAATTTGTACAATCAGGTAGTGCCTGACAACAGAGATACATCTCAATAAATGTGTTGTTAGGAAATTTCACTGTGACTAGCATAGAGCATACTATACAAACTTAGCGAGAACTGTCTATGACACAGCTTGGCGACATGATACATGACCTGCTGGCCCTGTGGTCCTGTGGGCAGCCTGTCCTTCATGGGGATATCCCCAATGATACATGACTAGGCTGCAATGTCTAGCTCTGACATTTACTAACTGCATAGCTTTTGGCAAGTCAAAGTTTGTATCTGTTGACAAGTCACTGAAATCTCAAAGTGCTTCATTTCATTCTCTCTACCCAGGGAACAATCTTGTGGGAATTTGCTGCCCCGGTATGAGGCCTGAAAGACTTTGAGACACAAAGTAGGTAAATATTATAGTATTATTTTTATGCCATGGAATACAAAATTTTGGTCAAAAATTCTATATACTCATAACTCAAAAAAAAGGCAAGTTACAAGATTTAAGTATAAGTAAGACTCTATCTACTTAAATTAACTACAGGGCTTTGAGGTCATGAATGTTAATGAAAAATATTATCACCACATACACAGGTTATACTCTACGTTGAGATCAAGAATAATATAGTCTCCTAAATATTAGATTATAATTCCCAGATTATTAAACATAACCAGATTATGACTTAATTCACAATGAGGGAAAATTAAAATGTTTTCATAAAACATTTTAAAAGTAAATTTTCAACTGAATTTTTAAGCAGAGGTACTTACAAGCAGTATACAAATATGCAACAGCTGTAGATCATTGGGAGTTCGTCCAACAGCTGGAAAAAACAAAGACACATAACGAAACTTGAAATCGTAGATATGCAATTGTTAGACAAGTAAAAACGGCATGATTGAGAGGGTCAGCTCTTCTCTAATGTTGTTAATTCTTTGATGTGTTTAACTAATTTACTCTGAGTATATGCACTTTTCGGTGGGCCGTGGGGGGGGGGGGGTGTGCTTCTATACAGAAGCCCGAGAATGAGGTGCTACCCGGGCCCTGCAGTATGGGGGCACCAGGGCTGCAAACAAGGAAGCCTGGGGGACCCAGTGATGCTGGGAATCAAACATTTGATTTGACACTCTAAGGTTTGACTCTCTAAGCCCTGAATGAACTCCAGGTACTCTAGTGCGACTTGTTGACTGGTTCTGAACAAAGCAGCTCATCTGTCCATCTACTTGTTATGGGTGCCAGCTCAGAGGGGTGCTCAGGTCATCTGAAATCACAAACTTGGACATGCCTCTGAGAAAGAACGAGGGGTCTAATGGAAATGATCCTCTGGATAAGAACTGTGTGCTGAAAGGAGGGAAAGGGACAAACATGATAGACAACCTGTCAATATCTGTATTGCAAACCATAACGCGGGAGAGGAAAGGAGGGGAGGGGAGGGGAGGGGAGGGAAAGTACTGGTTTTCTATAGTGTAGTGATCTCCTAAAATAGTACATTTCTCTATTTATTTTGACTAGAAAAATGCAGGCGTTTTATAAAGCCTAAGTGAAGGCACAGTTAATGCTTATAACAGGAGCCAGTAAAAGGTGTATACTGGTGATGGATGTAGTAGAGCTCTGCTCTAATATCATGCATGCCCTGCCAGAGGTGGTCAGAACACTGCATCACTCTCAGATGCCGTGTCTATAAGCAGCTTGTTTGCAAGAACTTTGTCAAGTTGGTTTCTTTGGCATGAGTACATGAAAAGCCATTATTAACAGTATTGTAAACCATAGAATCTTAATCAATAAAGCTTTTTTAAAAAAATTGAAATTTAAAGAAGGAAGAAGTCAGAACATTGAGGATTAGATATATAGCTTCTTCAAAGCAAGAGCAGTGAATAAAAATCCTTGGATAGGGGCCAGAGAGTTGGTACAGAGAGCAGGGTGCTGGCCTTGCATGCAGCTGACCTGGGTTTGATCCCCAACAGCCCATATGATCCCCTGAGCTCCCCCAGGAATGACCCCTGAGTGCAGAGCCAGGAGTAACTCCTGGGCATTGTCAGGTGTGGTGTCAAAACAAAAACGAAACAAAAATCCGTGGATAGTTTTAATCTTGCTAGCCAGAGGACTCGACTAATCAAATAAAGGTTGTAAAGGAGATATATGAACGTGAATAGATAGTTTCAGGGAACTGCATCTTTTTAAGCATGTCTCACTGGAATTCTACTCTTTAGCTCTGCTCTAATATCATGCATGCCCTGCCAGAGGTGGTCAGAACACTGCATCACTCTCAGATGTCGTGTCTATAAGCAGCTTGTTTGCATGAGCTTTGTCAAGTTGGTTTCTTTGGCATGAGTAAAAACTCGGTAGACAGTTCTTTTCTTCAGTCCCTTGTCCTGGTACTTTGCTCTAGTGATGAGCTCCTTTCTCACATTGGAAGTGTCTCTGGATTCAGATACATTACGCATTTAGTGCGGTTTATTGTCACTAACCTGCATTTCATATTTCAGAGTCATGTGGAAGCACCAGGATCCCATTCCCACCACTAAAATGAAAACAAAAACAACAATTAGCATGATATTCTTCTGCGGTGGCCAGAGTGACCAGAAAAGCCAGTGCAACATTTCAAAGCAGTGGGTTTATAAAAAGCTTACAAAGTTTTTATAGCAAAGTTTTTAAACAAAGTTTATAAAAATCTTGTGGCAGGATTAGCAGTCTCTGAGTGAACTCTGTCACCGGTGAAGTGATGAACTTTTGGTGCACAACAAAACAAGTATACAATACATTTTAAAAAATACTTTTCATTAAGCAATTTACTAGATGAACCATTATTTTCCATTCTGACCTGATGGACTGGATAAGCCATAAGACTCATAGCTCATTAGTACTCTATGGCGTGGAGAGGTGGATCTTAATAGTAGTAAGAATTATTTTCAGGGCTTGATAAGGCTGATTTCAGATTAAAGAATAGAGACACACACCAACAGAACAAACCAGAGAGCTTAGAAACAGTCTTTTATTTACATAGAAATTGACCTATCACAGAAGTGACATTATAAATACATATGAAAACATTGAAATAAACACTTAATAAAATAAAATAAATTTAATGTTTCCTTTTGGGGTGAGGGGGACCACACCTGGCTATGCTCAGGGGTTACTCCTGGCTCTGCACTCAGGGATCACTCCTGGTGGTACTCAGGGAACCACTGGGATGCTGGGGATCGAACCCGGGCCAGCCACATGCAAGTGCCCTACCCACTATACTATTTCTCAGGCCCTTCCTGATCCAAACACCTGACTTCTATGTTTACTAAGAGCCATTCAGTTACGGCTCTTCCCAAACTTATACCACGCTATACTTAGCTATCAGAAATATGACTGCAAGGAGAGAGCTGCTGTTTCAACCAAAGCAATTTAAAATCCTTCAAATACACTTAATAAAACTGAGCGCCTAAGGCTGGAAAGATGGTACAGGGGTTAAGCCACTTGCCTTGCAGGCAGTCAACTGTGATTTGATCCCTGGCACCACATGGTCCCCCAAGCACCACCAGGAATAACCCCTGAGCATGGTCTGATATGGCATAAGTAGCATCCCCACCGCACCAAGTAAAATGTTTAGCACATTGACTAGCATAAACCAATCATATTTTTAAAGCCAAGCTTCTAATAAAATTAATGACAGTAAGATAGACTGGAAAACTAGGAGAAAGCTAAAGATTCTGTCTTTATGTTTCAAAGTTCTCCAGTTCCTCTATTTTAAATAAACTTTAAGTTCAGAATCTTAAAGCTTTTGGAGGTGGGTAAGGGGGGTTTTAGTCATGCCTGATGGTGCTCGGGGATTACTCCTGGCTCTGTGCTCAGGAATCACTCCTGGAGGGCTCAGGGGACCATATGGGGTACTGGGGATGGAACCCAGGTCAGCCATGTGCAAGGCAAGTGCCCTACGTACCACACTATTGGTCTGGCCCTTAAAGGCTTTGTTTTTTGAATGTAAGAAAGACTTAGTAATGTAATCATTAGGATATGATGTTCAAAAGCCAAGCCCTACATCAAATAATTGTTCAAGATTATGAAACTGCATGTTTTAGACAAACTAAAACTAAGGTGTACCATATGCAGAAATAACTTCATGTTTTGGCTTTTATAAATGAGCTGAGCAAAAAAGTAGCATCACGTCTGGCAATAGGCCTTCTGATGTGGTGAAATCGGGTTTACGAGCATTTACTGAACTCTCCTATTTGCCAAATTCAGTTATGGATCCAGTCACTGGCCTTAATGAAGCATCAATTCTACTGGAGGAGACAAATAATAAGGAACTGTCAGGACACAAAGATATAATAAAGGGGCACAGACTAGCATGAGAGCACAGGGCTTAACAAGGAACCCAGACATTAGCACTACTTAACCATCTTACATAACCTAATTAAAAAATAAGAAGGAAGTCAGAGAAAGCAAGGGTGATGAGACATCTGTGTTAGTCTCACAAACATCACTGGAGAAATATTTCAGACTTTGTTACTTTTGCTTATAGATAAATTACTATATATATATATGATCACATGACATTTTTACTGCTCAAACTGAGCTGAGAGAAAAAGTGTTCGCCTTTGTTTTACTAAAGAAATGAAGTAGGGTGGTGCTATTTTTCCAAAGGCGTAATCAGAAGGTGCAATGGCAGGAAAATTACCCACTAAAAAAGGGGGAATGGGGCCAGAGCAATAATATAGCAGATAGGGCATTTGCATGGCATGTGGCCGACCCGGGTTCAATCCTGGGCATCCCCTGTGGTCCCCTGAGCACTGCCAGGGGAAATTCTTGAGTTCGAGCCAGGAGTAAGCCCTGAGCAACGCTGGGTGTGGCCTACCTCCCTAAAAACAAAACAAAACAAAACCCAAACCCAAAACCAAATAAATAAAAACAACCCAAACAAGCAAACAAAAACTACCCTAAGCTATAGAGTAGGAGTGGGGGAGGGGAGGATGGAGTACGGACACTGGAGGAAGGAAGTGGACACTGGTGGCGGGATTGGTACTGAAACGTTATAGGTCTAAAACTCAACTACCAAAAACTTTGTAAATCATGGTTCAATTCAATAAAAAATTACTGTAAAGAACAATGTCATGTGATGTAGAGGGACTATTCACCTTGAAACAGAGAATGGTTGCTTCAAGTGACCTCTTCAAGGACAGTTTTTTTTTTAATTTTTTAATTTTTTTATTATTAGTGAAACACCATGAGATACAGTTGTAGATTTACAAATCTTTGTGCTTGGATCTCGGTCATACCACGATCAAATACCCATCCCTCCACCAGTGCCCATTTTCCACCACCAGGATAATATCCCTCCTCCCCATCCCCCCATCCCCCCCTGCCACTGTGGCAGGGCATTTCAAGGACAGTTTTTATCCATACTTTTTCAAACTATCCTCTTGAAACCATTACAATATACAGCTTGAAGAGTCTAAATTTGGGGGGACTTATGCACATTCCTCTCAATTGTCCTAAAAAATGTAACTGGACAGAATCATCTTTCTCTGCATAATACTGTACCCTTTGAAAGCAAACCATCAATTCTTGCTAAATTTGCTTCTTGGTTTTATTGAGATGTAATTCACACTCCACTCCATAAAATTCATTTCTTTAAAACCAGTTTTTCCCAAAGTGGGTGACACTGACCCCTTCTTATTTTTAATTAGGTTAGGTAACATGGTTACAATAGAGCGAATGTCTGATTTCCTTGTGTGCTCTCATGCTACTCTATACCTCTTTATTATTACCTTTGTAGAGTCTGGATATGTTGCATGGCCACAAACATGCTCTGAGCTCTGAACAGCCAGAATATTTAACTAGGAAGTCCATGGCGGCTGCTGTTGGGGTATGGATGTGGACTGCCAGGGCTCTGGGAGGGCCAGGAACTTGGCCCACCATCCTCCCAAGATGGCCCAGGAAGTCTCAACCAGGACCTGATATCTGAATGTAGGGGATGGGGGACAAAACATTAAAACAAAATAAATGGAAAATTTTGATAATTTGTTTTGCTTTTCATTCCCTTCAATCTGTTTTGGTTTTTCTTTTTTGGCTTTTTGGGTCACACCTGGCGATGCACAGGAGTTACTCCTGGCTCTGCACTCTGGAATCACTCCTAGTGGTGCTTGGGAGAACATTTGGGATACTGGGGATTGAACCCGGGTCAGCCACATGCAATGCAATGCCCTTCCCACTGTAATATCGCTCTAGCCCCCAATATTTTTTCTTTTTTCTTTTTAAAAAAAAAAAAACCAGAAAAGTTTATTGGAAAGTAGAAGAGAAAGGAAAACGTACAGGACTAAGTTTCTTTTTTTTTTTTTTTGCTTTTTGGGTCACACCCGGTAATGCACAGGGGTTACTCCTGGCTTTGTACTCAGGAATCACTCCTGGCAGTGCTCAGGGGACCATATGGGATGCTGGGAATCGAACCTGGTTCAGCCGCGTGCAAGGCAAATGCCCTACACACTGTATTATCGTTCCAGCCCCCTTTTTTCCTTTTGACAAAATTTCAGTTTTTTGGTTTTGGGGTTTGTTTGGGGGCCACACTCAGCAGTTAGGGGCCACTTAGAGCTCTGCACTCAAGAATTAATCTGAACAGTACTGAGGTGACCATGTGGGATGCGGGGGATTGAACCCAGATTAGCCACGTGCAAAGCAAGCATGCCACCTATTGCACTATCTCTCTAGTCCCTGGCATAATTTCAAGCTTCAGAAATTTTGAAAGACTATAGTATAGTGATATGGTTCCACTCAGATGCACCAAATTTAAATATATAAAAATATAATTACCACTTTCTGTAAACTGGACATAAACTGTTCTCTTTACCTTTTAATATATAAGTATCAATCCCAGATCCATGTTAAATGTTATCTCCTAAATCAAATTTTCCTGCTTCCTTTTCTGTTATATTGATCAGACAAGACATCTAAGAAATAATGTTTGACCAGGCCAGTATTCAAAATAGTTATGAAAACTATTTTGCCAGGAGAGTATTATGTATGTTAGAATTTCAGACAAGAAACTCCTGATTCTTGGAAGTCGGAGAAATAGTACATCAGTTAGGGTGTCTGACTTGCCGTGGATAACTAGTGCTCTATTCCTGGAACTCCAGATGGTTCCTTGAGCCCCACCGGGTGTGATCCCTGAGCACAGACTCAGGAGTAAGCCCTTAGCATCGCCAGGGATGGCCCCCAAACTAAACAAAACAACAAAACAGAACATAAACTCCTGATTCAGTGGACGGCCTGGAACCTGTAGCTCCCATCCGTTTTTCCTTTTCCCACAACAAGCATTGTGCATCTTTCTTTGGGAATACTTGAATCTTGCCTCAATGTTCCTAACAGAAATACAATTTGATGGCAAAGTGACTTTTATTGACTTTATCCTCTTTAGAGTCAGAATAAAAGATGGGGTCTACACAATCTCAGAAATGTTTTCCTTAGTTATGTAAAAATGGTTCATTAGATGTTCTCCCCCTCTCTGAGAGCCCGGCAAGCTACCGAGAGCATCTTGCC